ATATTATATTCATATTATAATATCACGTGAGTTGTGTTACATGTCTGAGAAGATATATATATCCAAAGAAAATCAATATAATACACAAATTCTCACACACAAAGATTATATTAGTTATTGTTAGTTATTGGTATTTTTTCATAACAATTTTTGAATGCTATAACAAATTTTGAAAATAATATGTAAATTTTGTCTCATTACTTAACTCTTATGAAATTTATGTTTAGCCAAAAATAATATAATCTCAAAAGATTTAAAAAAAAGTTAAAATTTGGTTCACAAAAAATTATAAATAAGCATTAATAGAAAAATCAATATTTGGATATTTTTCAGTTCTTTATATTTGTTGATATTTGAGTAAACTTTTTATGCGATACGTTTTTATATGTTTATTCACATCAAAACAACTTCAAACACAAAATATTTGAAGATAGCTTGTCAAGGACAACAAATGATTGACTATAGATACACATTATTTACGGTTCAAATAACAATAATTAAACGGTAAAATGGTCTAGTGGATCCTTATATACTTGTATCAGTTTGTATTCTGAACTCTTCTACTTATATCTTTGTCATCTGAACCCTTACACTCAATTGAAACGAGTCTTTTAAGTCCCTCCTACCATGAGTGTAGCTCACTCTCCTTTGTATAATTGACATGTCATATCCACGTCACATATATTAATTATTTCATAACTATTTTTTAAAAACTATAAACCAAAATTATTTAATAAAATATAAAATAATAACATTTTAATTTATTATTAACATTTCTAATTCTTTCTATTTCACAACCAAAAAAAAGTCATTGCCGATACTTTCTCCCTCAAGTAGTAATCTGGAGCCTCGCCATGGTCAATGAAAGTTCCTACGGCCATTAAGGCAGCAACAATAAACATCTCAGCAATAGCCAAAGGCAAATTGGACAAATCCTGGCAATTTCTTCACAATCCCAAAACCAACAGCACCATTATTCGTCTTCTCCACCTTTCTTTCACTATTTCCTTTAAACCCTTCTTCCAATTAAACTTATATTGGCTTTATCAGATGATTCTGTGCCACCATGAACATTAGACGTAAACATGATTTGTGAATAAACGGTTCTTTTTCTTGGAATTTGTGCATATTGGAGCTAAAGTCTTTGAACTCCTCATCAGTACTCAAGAATGCCTCTGTTTGCGATATTTGCGATTTTTGTTGCTGTAAACATCAAGAATTTGAGAATTGTGGATAAACGGACGAACCTACTCGTTACACCTCCATACACGGATTGAAGCAAACCTCTCGCCTCTGTAAATTTTTATCCCCAAAAACTCCAACATCAATGGAGACTCTCAAGATTTCATCAATTATCTCACTTGTGCAACTTTCTCCCTCAACCTTTTTAATCTCCGTCACTGTTAGATGACAATAAGTCTTCTATGTAAACTCAACATCC